GGAAAATGAATAGGAAGAAGTACATATCATCTTATTCTGTACCAATACAATCAAAGAATTAAACAACTTCTGCTGGTGAATAAAAAATAATGTATCAAACAACGACTTAAGTAATTCAGTGGTCATTGGAAGTAAGAGATCTTGAGTTCAAGTCGCATGACATATAGATGAAGTATAATAAGGAATAAGAGATGATTGCCTCCCATTGTGCAACCAAAATAAAAAATAAAAAAGTAAAAATAACGTATCAAATTACTTAACAGAAAACTAAGCAAATCCAACTAGTTAACTTTCAGTAATGTTCAAAAAATAAAAATAAAAAATCTAACCAGTTAACGTTAAGGACAATTATTGTTTTATATTCTCATTTAACATTCTGCATAATATACTTATTAAAAAATTATTATTTTTTTAATCTAATTAAAGGAAAATAAATTTAAAAATTATTATTTTATAATATAAAATTAAAAACAATCAAACTTAAAGATGAAGAAAACTCAAAGAAAACAATGAAGTGCAGACATCATATTTCTATAAAAAAGCCCTAGGCATTTCACCTGTAACGACCATCACAAACTTACAAGCTATACAAAACTTTACGAGTAATGGCATCAGGCATAATTCCCATCCTTTTCATTTCTATAAAAAGCCTGAGTGCATCATTGATTCTATTACAGTTAACATATCCTTGGATCAATGTATTATAGCAAACTAAATCAGGTAGCAAACCCATAGTTTCCAATGAGTTAAAGACATCAACTGCCTTTTTCATTTCCCCTTCCAAACAATAACCATGAATTACAAGACTAAAAGTAATTACGTCAGGCTTCACACCTATCTGAGTCATCATATCAAGAATTTCATGAGCTTTCGACATCATCCCATTTCTGCAGATAGCATCCAACAATATGTTAAAAGTTACAACATCCGGTAAGATATCATGATTCACCATTCCATCCAACAACTTTTTTGCTTCCCTCCATTGTCTTGAATGGCAAAATAATGAGTTGTGAGCGATGATATTAGGCTCCAAAATCCTTGCAGTCATTAGCTTCAATATGGTAAGAGCTTCTTTAATTCCTTTGTTCTTGCAAAGAGCATCAATTACAGAACTGAAAGTTATCACATCTGGTAGGATCCCCTTTTCCATCATTTTGTTAAACAAGTTTGTGGCTTCTTTCCATTGGCCTGAATGACATAACTCATTTAACAATGAGTTGTAAGTAATAACATTGGGCTTCAAACCCCTTTCATTCATTTGCTCCATAATGCTGAGGGCTTCCTTGGTTCTCCCTTGCTTGCAACAAGCATCAATTATAGAACTGAGAGTTACGACATCTGGCATGATTCCTTCTTCCATCATTTCATCAAACAAGCTTAAGACTTCTCCCCATTGACCTGAATGACAAAATCCATGAATCAATGAGGTGTAAGTGACAACATCAGGTTTGACAAAATGCATCACTTTCTTCAAATGGATAGCTTCGGTCATCCGGCCTTCCTTGCACAAAGCATTTATCACTGAACTTAATGTTAAGAGATTAGGCAAGATTCCACAATCAATCATGTTTTCCATGTACTCTGTGGCCAGTCTCCATTCACCTGACTTGCACAAGCCACAAACCAAAGAGTTATAAATTACAACATTAGGCTTTATGTCTGTTTCAGACATTGAATCAAATAGAGCAACTGCATCTTTGGCCTTCCCTTCCTTAATAAAAGCATTAATCAGAGTGCTGAAGGTGTACTCATCTGGAGAAATTCCCATATCAATCATGTCAGTCAAAATGCTGGTGGCTTCTTCCTGCTTACCCTCGGCACACAGCCCATGAATCAACGAATTATATGATACCACATTAAACCATCCAGCACCAGCACCAGCACCATTCATGGATCTGAGTAAAGCAAGTGCCTGGTGAGTATTTCCTGATTTACAGAGCCCATTAATTAAAATACTACAAGCAAAAGCATCACATGGGTACTCCATGTCCACTATTTTCTGAAACAACTCCATGGCCTCATTAATCTTAAATTCCAGGAAAAGCCTACGAAGCAGAGGATTCATAGTATAACCGTCAGGTTGAAAACCACGTTTAAGAACCACACCCAGGACAGAGAAACCCAAATCCACCCGGTTCAAATTGCAAAAGCAATTGATCAAAGTGTTGAATGTATAGATATTAGGTTTGATTCTATCAAAACTCATAAACTGTTTATACATGGAAACCACAGAGGAATACTCTTTCATTTTGGAAACAGCCACAAACAGATGATTGAAAGCCCATATTGAAGGCAAGTCGCTCATATTAATCATGAAGTGGAAGGCACTCAAAGCTTGAGGAAGCTTAAGAGACCCAGATTCAGCCTTTGCCTTGATCCAGTTCTTACAAATGAATGGTCTTAATCTTTCCATTTGATCGAACAGAATAAAAAGAAAAATGATTCCTGACACAGGAGAGAAAAATTGGAGAATTACCAGGAAATGCAAAGCCCACAAAGAATCTATCCTCCCGCCGTTGCTCGTGTCAATTTTAGAAAAATTATGCAGCTCTGCTGCTTGCACCCATCTCCTTCCTCTGCCTGCCTCTGATATGGGAACGATAATAAAAAATCATTCTTCTCCCATTTGTTTCTACTCTTTTTTATTGATAACCCCCGTCTGGTTCTCCTCTTTAATTGGACATTGGTTTGGGATGATAGAGATTTGTACCCATCTAGGCCGGGATCGGAACCAGAGGGCTAGAAGATGGTGGCTTGGTATCTTAGAGAGAGGCAGGGTTATAATCAAGCCTAAAGGCCATGAATGAAGGCATGAAACTTGAGAATGATTGTAATTTTGAGGGATGCGAGAGCTGAAAAGTTGTGAGAGGTAGAAGCAGGGGAATGGTGAAGTTGAAGCCTTGAAGAAGGGCGGCGGACGACCTGTAAGGGTGAGGAGTGCAATTGGGAGATTAGGAGGAGGCACCAACAATTGCGAACTATTTTTTTCCTTAATCTGATTTTCTAGATTTAGCGAATTAGCGCCCCTGTATGTTTGGGGTCTTTTTCTGAAGGTTAAATACCCAATTTGGTCCCTCAACTTTCATTTCTAAACTTAGCTCATCCTTTAACTTCAAAAGGACCCAAATCGTCCTTAAAGTTTATTTTCCCGTAACTAAATTGATCCTTCCGTGACGGAAGTGCCCACCGGCACGTTAAGTCTCCACAATTTAGTTCTTTTAATTTTTAAATGCTTAGTTACAACCCACAAAGTCAAAATCGAGAATCTATTTCCATTTCAATACTCTAAATCCATTTTCCTCTCTCCATTTACCCACCTCGCTCCGCATCGTGCTTTCTTCTTCCAGATTCCATCTCATTTCGTACTATGCTTCGTTGGTCTCAAGGCCGACAACGTTGAAAACTCTTGTAAGCGCAATGGTTTTCGAAGGGGCTTCTATTGTCGACACGAAATCAAGGGGTTTGGGTGGAGAATGAAGGCAACGGTCGCAGACACAAGGATGGTGATAGAGAAAAGTGAAGGGAAGATGGTGAGCATCTTTGATTCGAAGGAGGATTTGGCGATGGCCCTCGCGAAATACACATCTGACCTATCTAACAAGGTCTCCAAAACAAGGAGCTCGTTTACTATTGATCTGTAGTTGTCTCGCCACCGTTGTTGCCACGGTAAAGACTCGGAGACCTGGGTTTTCAAACACAGTGAATGATGATCAACCTAATCCTTCCTTTTCTTCTTTGGAAATCGCAACAGACAAGTCAAGCTTTTCCCATTTGTATGAGGAAACGTTAGGGATTCTTGATTTTGATTTTGTAGGTTGTTCTTATTGCTTTCTGATGATGAGATTTTTGCTAGCTAGACTTATTAAGAATCCCAAATTTTGATCTGAGTTTTTCACCGGAGAAGAGGAAGATGAAACCCAATTAAAAGAATTTAATTTTTTTTCCTAAATTATTGAATGAATCAATTAATTTAGTATATTTTATGAGGTTATAATAATCGAATTAATTATGAGATGATTGATCCCTTAATTATCTGTATTAAATACAACAATCAATTAATTTAAATCTTTTAAATTTATCAAGAATGAATCAATTAAGAATTTTTTTTTCTTGTTCTCATTTTTTATCAATATTATATTTAACAATTTTTACCAAGTTATCAATTAATTATTGTGTTTTTTCCACATAAGCATTTGAAAATTAAAAGCATTAAATTGTAGAAACTTAACGTGCCAAGTGGGCACTTCCGTCACGGAAGGACCAATTTAGTTTTGGAGAAATAAACTTTAAGGACGATTTGGGTCCTTTAACTTCATAAAGGGCGAACTAAGTTTAGAAATGAAAGTTGAGGGACCAAATTAAGTATTTAACCTTTTCTGAATAATAAAATGTTTGAATTTTTTTTTTTTTTTTGCCAAAGACAAAATATTTTTAACTACAAAATCAAGCGCGGCGACGCCACTTCTCCAAAGCTTTGTATCTGTACTGCCATATCTGTACTGCCGAGAATTAAACAAGCAGAAGGACCTCTCACTTCATCTAA